CACTTATCCTGCTGGGTGTGTTGAGCGAGGAGGAGCTGCACCCACCATGCCCTTGTACCTTGACTCTTCAGTGTTTAAGTCCTCCTGGAGGCTTCCTGGGCTTGTGTGTACTTTCCTGCTAGTTTTGGATTTAGGCTTCTGGTAGGACAGGTGAGCAGGATGAGGCAGTCATTACCTTGGCATCGTCTTCTAGCACCTTCTAGCTCCTTTCCAGTTCACCTGCTTCCCTTTTTAACCCGAGGACATTTGCTTTGCATTAATACCACAGAGATAATGCTTGGTCGTTTGCAGCCATCACTTCCCTCTTCCTGATGTGGATTGGAAAACAAATAGTGGTTACTTTTCAGCTTTGTCAGAGCCAGCTGTGGTCTGTGGCACAGAGGCCAGGCCAAGGAGAGCTTGGTCCTGGGTGTTTTGGGGGGTAGCTTGGAGTTTGGGAATCTGGGGAAGTGTGTGTATGTATATAGGGGTGACCAGCAAATGGCAGCACCAGGATAGGTGCTCCTGCTCCTCGGAGTCAGAGGTCACTTCTGAAAATTTAGATTTTGCTGGATAGTGTTCTTGCTGGCATGGAACTCTTTCGTAGCTTTTAGGTTGCATTGTTTCCCCCCAAAGATACTTGCTGGATAATCATAAATGTTGGCTCCAGGAGAGACATGTTCATTTTTACATGAAAACAATTAAGAATAAGACAAGCTTCACAAAGTGTGGCTGCAAAAGCGCCAGGAGTTAAACAGAATCTCTTTCCATCAAGGGTTATATCTCAGTTGTCTGGGTACTGGATTTAACTTTTAAGAATGCTGCAGCTGGGCTCAGTGGCTCGGCCTGTAATCCAAGCACTCTGGGAGGCCAAGGCGAATAGATTGCCGGAGCCCGTGGGTTCGAGACCCACTTGGGCAACATGGCGAGACCTCATCTCTACAATAAATAAAAAAAAATTAGCTGGACGTGGTAGTGCGCACCTGTAGTTCTGGCTACTTGGAAGGCTGAGGCGGAAGGATTGCTGGAGCCCAGCAGGTTGAGGCTGCGGTGGCCAGGAGCGTGCCACTGCACTCCAGTCTGGGCGATAGAGTGAGACTCCAAATCAAAAAAAAAAATAAGTAAAAAGAATGCTGCAAATGCAGGACTTTGTCTTTGGTCAGTCAGTACTGTTCTTCCAACGGAAGCTTTTGATGGATTGATACATTGCAGTGGTTGCTTTGTTAAGTGGCTGGTGCTTTTTTTTTTTTTTTTTTACTTGAGGCATAAACAGAATTTGCCTCCAGGAATAGTCTCAGATACTGTTGCTGCCTGGTTAAAAGCCACCCAAAATTTAGATTGCTGAAGTAGCTTTCCTTTTCCTATATTAATAAATAAAAGAGATTTTATTTATTCAGAGATTTAGATTTATACCTGTAAGGAGAGATGTCCCACCTTGTTTCAGTTCTCCCATTGAGTAAAGCATTCCCAGGATGCTGTTGGTCAGTTGTATTAGCTTTAACTCTCGTAATTAGTGTTTCTTGAGATGCTGGAAGAGTGGTCACTTATTTTTCGTTAAGCCTTGGTTAATTGCCTTCTGTTTATTTTGGGCTCTTTGTTCATGTCGCACTAGAGGTTTTGAAACAGACCTCATGAAGCTGTAGTAGGCTAATGTATGCTCCTGTGATTTGATCAGCTTGGTTTTTTTCTTCTCGTGACAAGACTCAGAATGCAGCATGAGTTGCTTTAATGCTGACTTTGGAAGAGCAGGAAATGCTTAGTGAGTGGACAAAAAATGATGAGATTTGGACAGCAATGTTATGTTTCACGTTTTATATTAAAGAGAATGTGTAGCAGTTGTGTCTGCTTTGTGGCTAGAGAGAGGGGGACAAGGAGGGAGGGATGGTGGGGGTGAGAGAGACACAAACTGACTGACACATCCGATACAAAAGGTTAAGTGCCACAAGTCTGCCAGGACATGACTCATGTTCCTCAGGGCTCCGTGATGCAAGGCTTGCTGTGGCTGGCTCATTCATGTCTGCTGTCAGTGCCTGTCATTGGGCTGGTGTGTGTCAAGACTTTATTTTTATCTCTGCTTTATTGACAGTGAAAATAGCAAGGTGGTCAGCCTCCCTCAGTATTGTAATAAAATGCTTTCTTTTAAAATATGTCCATGCAAAGATGAATATGGCATGTTCAAATAATGACTTTTGCTCTTACTAAGAAAAATCGGCATTGAGACACGGGATTTGCCAGGTTTCTGAGGTAACTTGGTAGATTATAATCTGGTTGCCATAGCAACTCAGCCACACTGAAAATTACGTGAACTAAACATTTGAAGGGAGGACGCTTAAAAGCCCTTCACCTATCATCTTTCTCCCTGAAGAAGTGGGGTGGGGGTCAGGCATGAAACTCAGAAAGCCGAGGTGGGAGGCTAAGTAGACTTTGGAGGCTGCAGACCTCCAGGCTGTTCTTTGAACTGTGGCCTGGTGTCCGTGACCAAGAAGGAACTGTTACAGACACTTTTCATGCAGCGTGATAAGCAGATAATGTGACAATCTGGTACACACCCCAGTTCAGAAGTCCTTTTTCTTGCCTAGGACTTTCCATAATACTGGCGAGTTGTAATTTCAGAACCAGTATTCAGGACACATTGTCTGACAGTTATGAGTGTGGTAGAAGAGAGTATATGAATTTGGGATTGTCAACAATCTGGGACGTAGAGTCTTTGATGTCCATTGGTTCCCCCCCTCCCAACTAATTAATTCCACGGGCATGTATTACAGTCTTATCCCAAGGGTTTAAACACAAAGCAGATGGTTTCTGCTCTATTACAGCGATGCTAGAATTGGTCTGAGGGCTTTTAAAAAAAGTCGTGGGTACTTTTCTTCATTGAAGTGTTGTTTTATTCCATTGCAGTTGAGTTATGCTATATACTTATGTTAAAATGAAGTTAATTCAAAGGATTTTCATGTTAAAGAAATGATTTTAAAAGCTCCGTTTCAAGAAAGCAATCAAAATATTTTAATCAGTCTAGAGATCAGAAGGGATTTCCTTTCGAGTTCCTAAAGTGGTGGAGTGTATTTACATTGGTGAGAATTGAATACTGAAGACTGAAAGATTATTGACACAGCTATTGTACAGGAAAAATAAATTGCCTTGAAATAACTGTTATAATTCAAGATAATGAGAAGCACCAGGGATGAAGCTTAGACAGCTTTTCCCTGAATGATCTTGTTTTCTTCCAGTTAGCATATTTTCTAATTTAAAAAATTTTTGTATTCCAGCAGTGTCTCCTGTGGTGAATTATTTGAAGCAGCAAAATATGTGGATATAGAAGGTTTAGTTTTGAAAGATGAAGTGACTTTGATGTCAATAAATAGTTTTACAAAACAGACATTATGGTATATACAGTGAATAAAGTTGACTCTCAAATGCATCTTATTAAAGGCTAATTTCTAAGTTAAAACAATTGTTTGCAAGTGTTTTCCTTATGTTTTTCACTTTCATCCATTCGGTAAAAGTAGTGAGGACTAACTCTATGCTAGGCGTGGGTCTCGACAGTGAGATCTGGTCCTTATTGTGCCTGGGTTAAAGAAGGGAGACAGGCACTAGAATCATTACTTAATGAATTGCAGTTGTAAATTCTAGAAGCACAGCAGCATTTGTGTTTGTTTTAGAGCGTGTAGTGGGGGACCTGACCTGTCCCGGGAGTCAGATGCCACATCCTCAGCAGTGAAAGATGAGTAGACATCAGCTGGCTGAAGGCGAAAGGTGGGCAGTGGGCAGAGGTAGCTGAGTGCGGGGAGAGCGTTCTAGCCAGAGTGAACAATGCTGAAAGTTTCAAGCAGGAAGGAACAGGACTGTTCCCGAGGGTGAATCCTTCAATTCTAGAATTCATGAGGCCTATTTTAAGTGTTAAGTTTGCACATGGTGGGTTTATCTGTAGGTTTTTTGGGTTGGATTATGTCCTTTAACTTGCATTTAGGCATAAGCGAATAATTTTTTCTTTTTGCTATTCTTCGGTTAGAACCAAAACTATGAGGCTCTTGAAATGACATGCTTTGCTATTTCCACTCATGGTTGAGTGTTTTGGAAGTTGTCTACTAAAATTAAATGTTTGTGTTCCTACAACTAAAACATTGACTTCAAACATTTGAGGGTTTGGTGGAACCTATTTATATTATTCATTTATTTAATTTCATTTACTAGCCGGGCTCGGTGGCTCAGCCTGTAATCCCGCGCCTTTGGGAGGCTGAGGTGAGTGAATTGCCTGAGCTCGCGGGTTCGAGACCTGCCTGGGCAGCGAGACCTCATCTCTACAATAAATCAAAAAATCAACCGGGCGTGGTAGCGCATGCCTGTAATTCCGGCTACTCGGAAGGCTGAGGCGGAAGGATCGCAGAAGCCCAGCAGGCGAGGCTGCGGTGGCCGGAAGCGGCCACTGCACTCCAGTCTGGGCGACAGAGTGAGACTCCAACTCCAAAAAAAAAAAAAATTTTCATTTACTTAATACTTTTTAACTATTGTTTTAAGATCCTACATGCAGATACTTCTTTTTACAGATTTTTTTCTTATAAATTGCCCTCTTTTGTCACAGAGTCGAATGATTTAACTCAGGTCAGGAATAGCCACTTCGGGACCGAATGAAACAGTGTTAGGTCAAAACTTCATTGCTAGATGCAGTTTGCCTTTGTAAGTATGGCTTCTGAACTTTTTTCTTCTTTACATGGAGTTTCTACATTCGTGAAAGCGAAAAAGGGATCATGCGTTTGAAATAGAAGGTTTGTCAAAGTGGGTTTTTTAGGACGGAGCATCATGAGCAGCACAGGAGTGTTCACTTGGCTCAATTCAAGTTCATGCTCTTTCTTTTCCCCCAGGCCCAGCCTGAAGTGGGGTTACAACTTATCCCCTGAGTTTTGTGTTTATGCAAGATTCTGTGCCACATACTTCCTGTTTTATCTATAATTTAGGTCATAAAACTTGAAGAAAAATCCCAGATGTTCCAGTATTAAATTGAAATTAATGTGTTATTTTGGCAGGTTATTATTGTTCAAGTTAATCCAGGTGAGACTTTTACAATAAGAGCAGAGGATGGAACACTGCAGTGCATTCAAGGTAAGGATATTTTTGGTAAATATTCTAGTCAAAGGATTTTTTTCCTTTACTATTTTAAGGAAGTAATGCTTTTCTCTGTGTGTCTGCCTGCATATGCTTTTTTAGAAGTAAAATATACCTTGAATTTTCATTTTCTTTTTTTTTTCTGTCACTAGTCTCAAATTTATATAATGAATCCAAAGAATTCTTTCAGCAGTAGAATCTGCATTGGCTATCTATTAGTTATTTACTGCTGAGCAACAAATTATTCCAAAATTTATCAGCTTATAGCAGCATTTATTATCTCATAGTTTTTGTGGCTCAGAGATTTGGGCACAGCTTGGTGCATCAAAAAGTTCAAGTCAAGTTGTGGACTATGACTGCAGTTATCTTAAGGCATGTCTGGGAGTAGATCTGCTTCCATTCTCAAGTGTTGGCAGGGTTTAGTTTTGGGGGGCCTATTGGTAGGAAGTTTCTCACAATTTGTGAAGCAGGCCTCTCTACGTGGAGGGGCAGAGGGCTTGCATAATGGCAGCCCCTTCTATCAGAGCCAGCAACTAGATGGCAAGAGAACTGGTGGTCCAGCCCAGAATCAAGAAGGGGCTCGTACAAGGGTCTGAATGCTAGGAGGCAGGTTGTTGGGAGTCCTCTTAGAAAGCTGCTCCACACAGTCTACCTTTGGCCCCCAGTGATTCTGATTCTTATTCTCACAGTTAAAATGCCTGCCCCCCCCCCCCCCCCGCCCCCATCTCCAAAAGGCTTATCCAACATTGCGGCATTAGCTCAGAGTCCAGAATCTTGTCAAAGTTCCAGGGATAAGTGAGGCTCCCTGAAAGTAGTTGTTAAAGTACAGCTCCTAGGAAACGTATTAATTTCTAGTTTGTGTATTACTACTACCTCTTCTCTGTAATTCTCTGTATAAAGAAATGACTTAGGTACTGTGATCCATGTGGCGATCTGTATAGGAATATCATTACAGATCTGTTGCTAGCCTTTAAACACTGTTGTGTTAGAGACACAGTTTGTAATAGTTGCTCGGCAGTCACCGATTGGGATTATGGGGCAAATGACAAATTGGCATTTAGTTGAAACCTATAGGAGGTTATTGATAGGATTAGAATCTGATCAGAGGCCTTCTTTTTAATACCTGGACTTGTTTACTAATATACATAAACACCATAGAGAAATACCCTCTAGTTTTGTTTTTTTTTCTCTCCCATAATGAGCTTCATAGAAACAGTTGACTTTTTTCTAGTCTTACATATTAGCAGAGCATATTGCTTTGTAGTTTCACTGCTTCTTTTGGTATCTGTATGAGCAGAACTTAAGAAAAATTTTGCTTGAGAAATGAATATATTTTCAAAGATTCCAGTCTAACGAGTTTTAATTGAAGTTAATATGAAATGATCTAATCATTGTATTAATGATTTTTACCTGTTGCATTTCTCTGACCTTTATATTCCTGAGATTGTTCTTTGTGGGAATATGGGAGCCCATGAATTAGCTGGTGGACTGTGTTCCTCTACAACTGTATATAAAATAGAATCTAGAAAAGCAAGTCACTTAAGAGATGAACGAATGTAAAATCTACTCGTTTATGCCACCTGTGTTTACTTTTTGGTACCTGAGGGAGGAATGTGTGTGTGTGTGTGTGTAATGTGTGTATATGCATTAGTCTCTCCCACACTTTCTGTTTTGTTTTTTTGAGCCTATGTTAGTAGCCAGTAGGCTCTGCAGGAAATGTTGCAAGTATATTGCTCTATTCACAATGGGACTTTGTATTTATTTACAGTGAGACTTTGAGATAAAGTGACACTAACACTCCTTTCAGCGATTTTAGAAATTCCTATGACTAAAACAGAATTGTGGAGCTATTTATCTTTGGCACCCCCAACCTTCCTATTCTTTGTTCTCTTCTGGAGATGCAGATACTATGGTTCTCTTTATTTAGGGAGTGGTGGTAGCTGCCCAGTTAGTTGAAATGGCACAGGGCAGAATAAGAGGGGCCCAGACCTGGAACCAAGGGCTTTGCTAGGACTTGGGGAGCACGGGACCGATAGGACGAATGCAGAAATTGGAAGGAGAGCCGGTCAGCTGCACAGACTGAACTCCAAGTACAGGCCATTAGCTGCTATTAATGTAGAACAGGCAACAGATAAGAAAGGCTTCATTTGAGTTCTGGAGTGAGTTAGTGACTGCTTCACTCCACGTGGGTAGAACATAGTGAAATAGGCAGTTATATCTGTAAGTTCCAGCACAAGGCATCCTTGGTTCCAGCCCTTGGTTCCAGCACAAGGCATCCTCATTCCCACTGTGGTTAACACTGCCTGGCTAACGTGTCTTCAGCCCCTGGGGCGAGGCTGTGCGTTCTCTCCTTGAGTGTATGTAGGTCCACATGAGGAAGCTGAGACCTGTAGAAAAGTCCCATAGCTAGAAGGAGACAGAGTCGTGTTTTCCCCGGCATGTTGGTCTCTAGCACCTGAGTCCTTGATAGCCTTGTTTTGTGACTATACACCAGGGGACTTTCTTCTCTTGACAAGAGCAGGATGAGTTCCTGCTCCCAGGGCATCAGGATTCTGGGCGGGGTACCAAGATGAGTCCTCGGATGGCCAGGATGGACAGAGGTGGTTAGCAGAACAGAAATAGATGGTGGAGACTGGGTCTTGGGAATGAGACAGGCTTGACACCTTGTTAACAGAACTGAGAGGGCTAGCAAGACTGCGTGATGCACGGGGAGGATTGGTTTAGAGCCCCTCTGGTCATCTCTGCCCAGGTCAAGACTGGGCTCAGCCTCCGGGTGGGGCTTCCAGCTCTAACTACTGGAGAGAAGAGTGCCATGGGAGAGGACTGGTAGAGGGGAAGGACTGGTGGAAGGTCTTTTAAAAGCCTACTCAGAAAGGATTGGAAATCGAATCATTTTAATAGAAACATCTTCATTAGGGATTACGTTTAAGAGAATGAAGCTCTGGTTATGCTCTTTCAACACCAGCCAGGAGGTGAGGAAGTTTCTTTTTATTAAGAAGGAGGTGGTTGGCAGTAGTGGCCTTTTCGGAAGTTTCGAAGTCACAGCCATTGCTTGTGCCATGCTTGAACTGTCCGTCTGATGACTTTGCTGTTTGCACACTGGCTGGCGGATCGGGGACTGCTTTGAAGGACTAGGGTAGATCATGGAGTTGATGGCTGGGCCCTCCTGGAAACTTGGAGATCACACCATATGAGATCAGCCCCCTTGGCTCATAATTGAATTTGTGGATGTCAGTGTAATAATTTTCTCTGTAAGGCATTTATGACAGCACTAGAAAGACCCCGGAAGTTCATGGTGATGTCATTAAGGGGGCAGCTTGGAAGTTGAAAGCAAATCAATGTAAAAGAATACGGTTACTTTGGGAAAAAACAAAATTTATTTTTATGGGAATGTCCTTGGTGATAATGAAGGAAGAAAAACACAGGAAGCATACAATATGCTGTGAAAGCAGATTCATTTCTAATGGAATATTTCTCAATATTTTCCATGAAACATGAATCATAGTCTTGAAGGGGCCATAGAAGGTCATAGTTTATTCTCACTTGGAGGCAGCCCATACCTATGGCATCCTAGACAAAAGATTTGTTTTCCCTGGGCCAGATGAAATCGCATAAAGAGCTAATTGTTAGGAGAAAGAATCTAGTAATCAATGTGAATCCCGCCTTTGCTTAAATTTGGGAATGAATTTCAAGGGCTGCTGCGGGTCTCCCCCATTACTTTCATATACTTGTCTGGGCCACGGTGCTGGCCGTGCAGCTTCCTTCCTGTGCACACATGCCATCTTTTTATCTGCACCCTGTAAAACCCTTCGGCCAAAACCAATACCATGCTTCCTCTGAGGCTCTGCGTCTGTCTCTTCCAGGAACCCTCCCAGGCCACTGTAGTCCATGCTGACCTTTCTTTGTATAATGAGGGAGTAGGTGAGCTAGCAACACGCAGTCCGCTTGTATGGGCAAGCCTGACCTTAGCCCTTGAATTAGGCTGTGAATTCAACTGTGACAGGAAAAAGTGCATCCTCCACCTCGTGCCCCAGCCGCAACCTGGTGGTAATTACTAACTGGACTCTCGACTGGCGCTGGTATCACATCAGGCATGGTGGTTCTTCTTTTAAATTTTTCTTTTCTGATGTTAGCTTAAAGGTGTTTAGTTCTGTGCTTCTAGTGGTCTTCATAGTTGCTAGAACTTTCATATTTCAAATTGCATTGATAATTGAAGCTAATGAGTTTCCTTTAGAGAAACATATTTAAATTCCAAAGAGCTGTTATGATGATCTTATATTAAGACTGCAATTTGTATTTATTCATTTATTTATTTTGAGTTGGAGTCTCACTCTGTCACCTAGACTGGAGTGCAGTGGCCGTTCCCGGCCACCACAGCCTCGACCTGCTGGGCTCCGGCGATCCTTCCGCCTCAGCCTTCCAAGTAGCCAGAATTACAGGCATGAGCTACCATGCCTGGCTGATTTTATGATTTATTGTAGAGATGAGGTCTCGCTGCCCAGGCGGGTCTCGAACCCGCTGGCTCAGGCAATCCACCCACCTCAGCCTCCCAAAGGCACGGGATTACAGGCTGAGCCACTGAGCCCGGCCTGCAATTTGTATTTAAGACTGTTGTATACAAATTGTAAGGCTGAAGAAAATGGGTGCATGTCATGGTGACTGCAAAAAAGTAGATGAATACCCCACAATATCATAATAAAAAATATCGATTATAAAAAAAAATACATGGAAAACTTAAAAAAAAAAGTAGATGACAGTAAAATGCTTAGGAAGCACCATTATTTCAGTAAGTAATAATATTTAAAATAGTATTCTATATAATATATAGTAATACATATTTGAAGAAATACTTAATTGCTAATGCTTTTTGTCCAAAATAACGTAGATATCTTTTGCCAAGTGACTTACCCTACTAACTTGTGTTAAGTGGGTTGAGAGAATAACGAAATGACAGCAGACTGCGTGGTCAGAGAGAAGCCAAGGGGTCCTCCTCGAAT